CCAACGCATCATAGGGGGCCGATCTTTTCTTTTCACATTCTACCAGTAGTCATATCCTGGTCGCTCTTTTTAGGTATGATAGTTCCTCGGATAGTTCTGTGGAAAATTGTCAGAGGATTCACAGTAACTGTATCGCCATCGATTTTTAATAGTACTGCTACTTATTTGTGGCAAAGATTGGTTCATGTCACCAAATTTGCTGCCAACAAAACTTTTTTTTGGTCTCAATTTCAAGGAGTGCTATTTGGAAGCGATACCTGTTGGCAGTGAATTCAGAGATGAGAAAGGGGGATTTCCAGCAAACGATTCGTCCATTTCAAGTGCTGCAAACCACTTAGCAATTTTATGATTGTTGCAGTTATTTTCCGATGTAGCAATCGTCTGGGCCTTGTAATAATGGTTGCTCATAGTAATTATCCGGCAATAGAAGGTTTAAAACTGTACACGCTGAACCAGCTAACTAGGCCGTTAATTTGGTGGTGTTAGAAGGTGCCAAGATAAGTGATCTTTCCAAATAAACCAAGGATACAAAATGCATTGTTTGAGAGCTACGCCCCTAACAGTCCCAATCGTTTTTCAGTAATATCCTTTCGGATTGTATAAAAATATTTCTAAAATTCCTACCCCAAGATGGTCTGTCCCGAAATTTGGTATTGTAGCGAATACTCTAGAAATCCTGATAGATATCGAGGCGCCATGATTGGTCATCGGCGATAAGAAACTAAAGAGGATGACTCATTTTTTCCGGTAAATATGACGTGTTTGTTCTAGAACATTCGGGCGCGTTCGGGAGCATTCGAGAGCATTCTAAAAATATTGTTGTTTGCTATACTGGGTGTTATCTTTTCGAGCGATAAAACTCTTCACTACGTGATTCCGCATTATTTTCTGAGAAAAAAGTCTAATAAAAGTTTTCCTAGTCTTTTAGTAAACGTGATGAATGGTACAGTTTTGACATTATCATACACTTTCCAGGTTTTCTTCAGAAATTTCAAATGGAACGGTATAGATATTATATGATATTATTATCAAATAAGATGAAAAAGTGAAAACATCAGTGAAAACTGCGTTTTGATATTTGTTTCCTAAGCAGAGATTTGGCGAAAATACGCTAATTTACAAATTTAAATCTTTATATTCATCCAAGTGGGCTTTGAAACAAAAGAACACACAACAAGCGATAATTAAAATAATAATTAAAATTAACACTTAATATAAGTTTTTAAATTATGAGCGACAAATAAATTATTCAAATTTTAAATCAGAGAAATATAAGTTAAATAATTAATAATAACAATAATTATGACTAACAGAGTGACTAACGTAATGTTCAAAATGTCTACAATACGAAGTCTCTACCGAATATCTTTTTGCGTTGCAGTGTGTTTCTTTTGTTTCAAAGCCAACTTGGATGAATATTTATTTGTGAATGTGTATATTTTCACCATATCTCTGCTTAGGAAGCAGATATCAAAATGCGGTTTTCTCTTGGCCTCTTTTGTTAACCAAATATTTTTCCCCAAGCTTTGCAATTAGCGGTTCCATAGATATGGACTGTGACCTTTATTAATAGGACACTCCGTGCAAAAGTGTCAACGGTTTTTTCTATTTTATTCTATTTTAATTGTTGAAATCTCCTAAGATTATTCGACCATATGCTCGCTTCGGCAAAAAATTGGTCGCGAATGAAGACTAAATGCTTATTTGCGCATTTGCCCCCCTGTTTCTTTGTATTTGGTGATAGCACATTAAATTCTTTTTTCAAAAATATATAAATAAATACGAGTATATGCCGTTTATCTCGCCATTTATATACATTTTATTACTTTAAACCGAGTTTTAAACCACAGTAGGCTATGAAACAAAAGCTAATTAAAAAAAACGCATAGAAAACGAATATCGTTCATGGCGTGTTATATTTTTTTTACTATACATTCCGGCACAAAGGTAGTATTAATCAATACCTAGTCTCGAAATATGTGCCGCCAATGTTCTGCTAACTTCACGGACCCGAACTTTTACACAGTACAAGAATGAATCATAGCATAAGTGCAAGTTGTTTCACGCAAACCGTTACCTAAAAGTATATTCAGGCTTTCATTGATTAATTAAATCTGAAAATTTGCATACCAACATGGTTTTTCTTGATCTATCGAAAGTAAATATTATCATGGTCGTTTTACTTCCTGTTTTATCGGATGTCGATAGCAACTTTCTTATTTTAAATAGAACACCCTGTATTTTATTGCATTTTCGAAATCTATATGAAAATCTACGTCGTTTGATACCACATTTCCCGAGACATTTCCCTATACCTAGTATCAAAGGCTTTCAAGTTTTTCAAAATTTTTGACGTTTAACTATTATTCTTTTGAGCTATGACTCTCTTGACATCAATTTCAAAAAGTATTCCAAAATCGACAGTACTGACTTGATGCTACGTCACAATGGTTTAAATTTTGATCGTCCTTCTACAGGGTGTTTTAAAACTAATGGTCAACTTTATCAACTTCAAACCTTAAAAAGTTGATTTTTTCAAATGAGACGTGCTTTATTTTTTGCACTTTCAAATGTCGAAAAAAATTCTACATCGATAAATTATTACATTCCCTATACCTATCTATTATGCTTTCGATTTTATTTTAAATTTTCTATAAGATTTAGACCGTTATGTATAATTTTCTGAGGAGGCCTTGAAATAAAAGCGTTAGTAGATGAAGAAAACTACTGGTTTCAACTTGCCGGGGTGGTACGAACATTTTTGAAGACAGGTGGATTGTGACCAAAGGTCCGTGGCGTTGGCCTCCTAGATCTCCAGATATAACACCACTGACTGGGCTTTTATGTGTGGGATCATATAAAATCAAAGTTTACTTCCCACCAGTTGCTTCTCGTGAAACTGGAAGGTATGGAGAGAAGAGTGTTTGATGAAATGGATGCAGTAGACATTCGAGAGGCGACTATCGACGGCATTCGTCGGAGGATCTTATTATGTATTCAATAAAAAACGCTGGCCACAGAACGAAATCTCAATTGATGTTTCTTTTTATTTTGTCGTTTGTTATATTACCTGTTTCTGTTTATTATGTCATCTTTATTTAACCTTGTATTCACTAAGGTAAATAGGGTTATTTTCATTTTTAGTGATATAAAATACAGGGTGTTCTGTTTAAAATAAGAAAGTTGCTATCGACTTCCGATGAAACAGAAGTGAAACGATCATGATAATATTTTCTTTCGATAGATCATAGAATAATACTATGTTGCTATCGAGGTTGCTATGCAAATTTTGAGATTTAAAGGCAAAGCCTGAATACTTTTAGGTAACGGTTTGCGCGAAACATCCTGTATAGCTTTATTGCGTCGACAACATGGCGGTATACATACATGCTTAGATCATATATATTGATATTGTATGTGTATGAGTATGATCTAAGCATACCATTTTAAAGGTGATCTGAGCCATACAAAAGTCAATTTTATTTAGAACGAACCTCGGAACGAACGACTTACAGTAAAAACGCCTAGGCTGATATGCAACTCTTGCCTTCACTTTTCAGAATGTGACATTTAGGTACCAATATAATAATTTATTTTTCCAATCACATGTTAGTTACACATTTCTATATTTAGCTTCTTTTAAAATATCGGAGTAAGCCATTGAATTCATATAAGCTGTTACCTTAATTGCCATAGAAAACTGTCAACAATTTTGCAATAAACATGTTATGCGTGTGAAAAATCGTGCTATCCGAAAATTATATTATCTCTCTCAGAAGTAAATGAAAAATGTATGCCTATGCTGCTCCTACACTGTGAGTGTGTCACTTTTAATTTATACTCCACATGGAAACTATTAAATAATTCGCGAAAATTTATGGCAAACACAATTCTAACAATTATCACAACTCCATTTGTATTTACTTTATTAAATGAAAATGTAAACTCAAAATCGGTCGCGAGGTAATTTATGTGTTTGGAATTGGTAATTATCATAATTGCAGGGTATTATTTCATAGTGAGGTAAATTGCATCGATTTACCGCTTGCTTGTATTAGGGAAATGTGATTATTTCGATAGGAGAGAAAGTATAAAAAACGACATTATTTGCATTACTTGCAAACTACTTAATAATAGACTAGGTATTTTTGTAATGTCAGGCTTCGTTGTGAAAGTTGCTAGTTACGGCATTTTAAATTGGCAAAAGATCAATTTTTAATTACTTAGGCAGGTAGAGGTTATTAACATGCGTACTACGCAGTTCAGATACTGACCTAAGTTCTCAGAATAGACCGGAAGAGAGGATGATTTTTCTCTTTGAAGTAATTGAAATTAGAATTTGGAGCATTTTTTTTGTTTTCCTCATATGTCACTTAGATTTTCTCGGAATTAATTTAGCAGTGTGCTGTTAGAATCTAGTCCTCTCCGCAAATTCCAAAAAAAACAATATATAGATAGTAATGGCAGTCTTCTCCTTACGAGACTGCCCGGTTTAGGTGGGGAAAGAAAGCCCTGTGTATTAGGCAACCCCCACAACTCCTAAATTTGATGACGCGCGGTGGTGAGATGATTGGTTGGGTTTTTGGATGAACTCTTTCGATTTGTGTAGGTAATTTTTTTCTTAAAATTCTCATCCCAACTGATGCGAAGAAAATGGAATCTCGACGAAATTTGGTATCTGAAAGTTTTTCAACACGAAAGTAACAAATATATTTTTAGTTTTTGAAAATTGGGAATGAAATTTTTTTGTAGGACAACGAAATTTCTTGCACGCGGCTCTAAAAAAATTATTGGTTCATTGCAATTTTTTAAAATGTTTTTAAAAATTAAGTTTGAGTTTGAATTGTCGCGTGGAAAAATCCAGATAGGTACCTACCAAATGGCCTCGTTGAGTTATTACTCGGTTTAACTTTGCGGAACAACAGGTTGATAACCATGATGCGTTAATTACCAATTCCGAACACTTATAGATCGTTATTTAATTAAAATATTTTTAATAGATGGAACCAAAAATCGAAGTACAAACGCAACAGCCCATTTTACCGCATACAAACGGAAAACTACCCAAAGAAATAAAAAAATTAATGCGAAATAACAACCCACCTAGTGACGACAGTGATTTAGATGTTTCATTAACCCCTAGTGATAGTGATAGTACCACATTAACAATATTAAAAGACATAGTTAATGTACCCCCAGATGAAAATGATATTAACGGCGGTTTATATCAACATTACTTCATAAACCACATGAACAACTTACCGTCGCGCACGGTAGGAAATTCATTTGGTCGCCGCTTATCCCAGTGCCGCGAGGAAGATGAAGATGACGACAGAAAGGAGCAAAAAGACCAGAAGACGTCGACGTCGGAAGTGTCCTTAATTTCGGGCAGTGATAAAAGTTTGTCGGGATCGTCGTCTAGCGGTTCGAAAAGCTCGGTGATCGATACAATTACCGGACCTAGACACAAATTCGTGATAACAAAGACGAAACAGCCTTCGGAAGCGGCGAAGATCTTCGCCAGAAGAAAGGAGTATCGACAGTCGAATACCGTGCACGGGGATGATTTTAAGCGTCCTTCTATTTATTCTATGTTTAATAGAACTTCACCCTTACAAAGTCCGCATTATGATCGGAAGTTCTTCGACTCGTCGCTCATCGAGATGAAAAGTCCCACGTCGAGCACGTCAACTTTGGATTGCGGGAGTACTGAAGACATTTGGGTTCGGCGAGGATCAGTAAGTAGATATTTTTATGCCAATTTTTTCGATATCAAACACTCGTGGGAAGTTAGATAGCAAAGAATAAATTCCTTAGCTCTCGATAACACTAATAAAAGCTGTAGGTAATCCACCTGATCTCCTAATTTTTAATTCGTTTTTGGGTAAAATGTGTTGCTCAGTACGGTGAAATATTGCTAACTTCACACGAGCTTTCACACCACATTTTCTTGGTATCATTTGTATAGGTACCCACTTTTGTCGAAATGGCGCATTAACGTAAGAGATTAGGATGATAAATATCCAAAAAAAGGCCCAATAATAAACTGGCGAGATTTATGGGCCATTTTTTATTATAATTGCCCATATTTTAACACTAATTATTGTTATTTATTTTATCACTTGTATATCTCCGTTACAATCGCTATTCTTGTAAAAATTAATGAGGATATGATATGGTTTAGGAAATAATGCCACAGCTGCTTTGCTATGGTGTAGGTACATTTCCTATTGCCGCGTTCACGTTTAATTGGCGAAGCTATTGTAGCTACCCCAAAAAAATGGTGTTTGAGAGTCTTCACAGAGCAGATTCTGTAAGTTTGATTGTCTTTCTTTTGCATTTTCAATTTGCGTTTAAAGTCAACGTGTTGCTCTAGATTTATACGTTGTTGCTGTGTGGTTGTTTATTCGCGCACTTCAATGTCTGAGCATTAATTTTTTTTACATTTTTATTAATGTCACTATAGATGTACAGAATGCCCCATTTATACGGTGTAAAAAATAACTAATTTTTTAAATAGAACACCCTGTATAGTTTTAGTTGTTTCATGTCATTTGTGAACCTTTACATTCAAACCTATTCACTTTTTTGATTTTAAGAATTCAATAAATGCGTTTTATCCGTCCGCCGTTCGCCTGGATCCACTTCTGGCGTGTTGAAGTACTTTTAGGGGAATGGTCCTAGAGTCCTGGAAAAATAGATAGTGCCAGACGGACATCAAATTTCGCTGTCTTAAGGAGGGGGCCCATGAATTATTTCCTGAGATGCTGTTTTTGAAAGTAAAATATGCATAACTTTTACATGCGATAATAAGTTGGTCTCAGATTTTGCATACGCATGCCTTTAGTGGTGCTAAATAAAATAATAAAATAAATAAAATGGGGTGGGGGGGGGCGGGAGGTGAACACACCCTTCATGGTACTCCAATGAAAGGTCTCGACGAAAGGAATTTACTACTATTAACCACAGTCGTCCGCCTCGACCTCTTATCGTGATTGGATACAATTCCTTATATCTCAAGAACAGATTGTCGGATGAGAGTACTCATCAAGGGCGATTGGGCCGTCTGGAAGGAATATATCCATTGACGATATCAAAACACGGTTTGTCGGCGGACGTACTTTCAAAGTTTATCTTTTTTGAAACTCACCTTTTTCATTAATCTCTTTATTTTACTACCAAATTACATTTGCAGCAAATAATTTACCTTCGGGCATTCTTTTATGTTTTATTATCACGGCCTACTCTGGTGCGTAAACATGTACCTAATTATTTAATGAGTACGTACTTTTACGAAAAATATTGAATAACCTAAAAACTATGATGTTTAGAAACATGGCGTCCTTTATAATAATATTGAAGGAGAACACTAAAGACTATCAAATAGTAAAATAAAATAGTGGTAGGTCTCGTGGTAGGTCCACTTGAAAAAAAGATAGTAATGGGACTTTGAAATTCGGAAAATTTACTATTTGATTATGAACACCCTATATCTTTAAATCCAAATTTAAAAAATCGGAAAGGGCATACACCTAGATAGAACCTCGGATAAAACTGTTTATTTCTCGGTTTATTCTATATCCTTTTATCCGTTATAGTTTCTTGTAAAGAAGTTAAACAAACAAATTTTACTTTTTTTGGCTGCAGCTGGATTTCAAACGTTAATCCAAGGCACTGATCCGGGAAGCACTACTATGACTACTATGAGTCAAATACAGTAAGGGAGTGGTTTATAATCTAGCTGAGTTGTAAATAGGGATTAAAATATTCCTATACATCGTATATGTCGCTTCGTTGTTTGTTCATGTGTATACAATCCCTTTGCTTTACCCCAAATAAAGATTATTAACAATGGGTAATAGCATTAATTAAGTAGGAATTTGTTTATCAATGGCTGTAATCTCAAAGTGATGATTGTTTCAAAAAGATAGCGACCAACAATGTAAAAAAAAACAAAACAAAAAAGGCGTCGTTTTTGAAGTACTTTAGGCACTTCAATTTTACGTAAGTAGGTACAAACAGTTTATTTGTGTGATAAAGAATTACACCTACAGTAATATCTAACTACTTAAATTTTAATCATTATACTTACATAAAGGGAGTCCTAATAACAAGGGCAAATCGCGTATATTTTGTACTTGAGGATCTACCTAATTAATCAAATTAATTGAAATAATGTCAAGAAACAATTTGCTGCATTCTACAATGAAGAAAGTAAGATGGTGATGGTTTAATTCACGATGATTTAAATAGTTAAATACACAAACGTATTGCAAAAGAAATGTATGTATGTCCAGACTCCAGAGGTACGAATGAAAAATCAACATCGGAAATGCTAAAATAATACATATACATGCATACTCATTCACAGTCAAATCGTATGGCATTTTTTGTGTGTTTTTTAATCAACATCGATTAACAATTCCTTAATTTCATTATTTTTTGGTCTATTATTAACGAGCTCCCAGCGAGTTGATAATTTTGCGGTGTCTGTCCGTCTGTCCATCCGTTCGCACGATATCTCAAAAACGAATGGACCGATTACGATGAAATTTTGCAGGTGGATTCTTTATCAAATTTGTAGATCGGAGTTCATGGCACTGTGGTCCATAAAATAAGGAATGCCCTTTTGACATCTCCGTGAGTTATGAACAGAATTGCATGAAATTCAACATGCGTATAGCTTTAGCCATATAAAACGCGATTCTAAAAGTTGAGCCTAATCGATCGACATTCACAGTGCCCTTTTCGCATCTCGACCATTTATAAACCGAATTGCAAACTTTTTTATTTATGAAAGTATTTAAATGAAATTTGATACATAGGCACTTGGAATAAAGGAAAATCTAACACTAGTTTCAAAATTTGGATTTTCGCATGCGCAGTGCCAACTTTTTTATTTATGGAAGCATTGAAATGAAATTTGATGTCGAATTTGATACATATGCACTTGGAACAAAAGCAATTTCAAAATTTGATTTTGCAGTCATGCTATAGATAGCCATACCCAGGAGCTCGTTTGCTATATTTGTTTACACGTTTATTAAGTTTACAATAATTTACAATAATGTCCGTTATAATGCCTGCAAAAAAGATCGGAGGCGCTTCATTCCACGGAGGCTCGGGGTGCAACTTTTTCGCAAGTAAAAAACATCGTTTTTAAACAACATTTTTTTCTTTTCTTACTCTGAACCTCGTCTGGATGGCATAAAGTGTCGGAAATTGTTCATCTTTATGTTGGTTGTTCTGTTGACATACAAATCAACTAACCGAAGTGAGATAAACATTCAAATACAGATTTGAAATGGAACTTTTTGTTTGTACTGCGTTGCTAAAGACAGGGATTATCGCAATAATAGAGCAATTTTAATCTTTATGTAATCATCACCCTACACTTCAAAACATCAATTTGTTTGATTATGATACATAGTATATAAAATAGATACATAGTTTTCTGATAATATAATCGTAATCGTAAACAGATGGGACAAAAGAAAAAAAGGCTGATGTAAAGAGTTGTGCATCTGAAGCTCAAAGCAGTTTCCAGTATACAGTATGTCTAACTGTCCAAGATAAGAATGAATAGCATGAGGAAAACGGGAAGTTGCGGATTTTAGGGCTTAGTAAAATGATGATCAGTTCCGAAGATATTCGTAATAAACTGAAATTAACCGTATTCGTTTTTATTTTTTTCTGACCCTGTTTCAAAAGATATCAAGAACACACTTTTTAAGCTCTACAAGATGGTGCCCACATATTTTCACTGTCACGTTTCGTCTTGAGAATACATCATCAACTTTATATTTTTGTATGGACCGGAAAAAGTACATACCGAGATACATACCATATTGAGTAGCATTTTTTTATTACGACTACAACGATGTATATGACACAATATGATTCTTTATTTTGTCATTTAAAGGAACCAGACATTTTGTCAACGCCTACTACACCAAAATGTTCAAAATTGTTTATTATTTGTCAGAAAAAGGCTTGTTATTAAATGTTTAACATTTTGGTTGTATAGTAGGCGTTGACAAAATGTCAAAATATTTTATTGACGGCTCCTTTAAATGATGATGCCGATGAATATTTCCCGGCACTGGGTATCCAACGAGGTCTCCAACGTCGTAGTCATTAATAAAACTGGCACAATATACTTTCTAGGGCGAAGCGATTGGATTCTCTTCCATTTCGAGGTCGATAAATGGTATCACTTATCGATCTAGAAGGGGAAGGGGAACTACCCCACACGTCAAATGTTAAATGACGGATTTCACTAAAAGACTACGACATATACAAGGGCGACCAAATTGGACAAAGAATTATGATCATGGTCCTCCATTTGTAAATTTGAAATTTCTCGCCGGTTTGTGCTTTCTTTTGGATCAAGATCAGTTCTGACTGAAAATTTTGACTAATAAATGTAAACTGGACACGTGTTTTTTTCCATTTTCAAAACAAACAAATGCAGTGAGGTACAATAGGTAGCCGTTTGAACACAATTCAACATATAATGTATATTTATTAGCAGCTCGCGTAAAGTAGGTTGTAATTTAACGAATTTGCCTTGGACTTGATGTATAAACATGTGTGGGAAAATGTATGTACGGGTTCAAGTGCTATATTTGCACCTAAGACAGGAAATTATTTTAATTACGTAACCGGTTTGTCATGTTGATTAGTTTAACAAGATGTAAATGAAACCATTAATATTTTTATAGATCATAAGGGCGAT